CAGCAGGAACGCTTGTCTATTTTTGGAACAGGCACGTGGACAAAGCCACCTCCTGATTTCAAAACAAAAAGGGACGAAAGTAACTGCAGGGGCCCAGCGGCATTACAGGTCGGGAATAAGCAGTAGGCTGTGCAGTGCATGCCAGAAAGCAGATCCGATTTGCTCAAAATTTCACCTGAGCTGATATCCGGGCGAATGTGGCATGACCCACAGAACTGCTCCTTCCCTGAACTGGAAGAAAGTGTTTCCATACTCTCTAAAGTACACCCGTTGCAGCCTGAAGAGAAGAAAGTCAGACAGAAAACCAGCACAGTGGCTCAGACGACTGCTCAGCAGCCAGCGAGCATCGCTCGTTACCCAGTGGCTTCCAGCGAGGAGGTGTTGCAAGTCACTGCTTTGCCCAGCTAGCAAAGCCCCGCGCCCCGCCGGTGCTGGCTGCGGGGGTTTCTGCCCGGCGCCTCCAAGCAGCAGAACGTGCCCCAGCAGGGCCGGGACAGGTCTCCCGCGGGCTCCTCGCGCCTGTTACCTGGCCGGTTATCTGTAGGCGGCGACAAGAGGTCTCTCATCTGTGCGTCTTTCAGGCCTTCTGCCCACTGCACGTCCAGAGTGCGGAGTAAAGGACAACTGGAACTACAAAGTGCCGACACTGCTATCCACGAGCACCCTGATAACAGCAGGTCTCGAAGACCTGCAGATACAGAAGAAGTTGGAGAACGCGGCCTACCCAGAGGGACATCGTGCTGAGCCCTGCTACCACGCGCAGGTCGGGCGAAGCGAAGCCCACTGCCGCTCCGACGAACGAGCCCAGCGCCCCAGGAACCCCCCCTAAGCCTCCTCCCACCCAGCTCTCCACCTCTCCCACCACCTGGAACCTCCGGACCGCGGGCAGGAGCAGGCCCCCGCCGCCACCTTCCGCAGCAACGTTACCCCTTGACAAAGACCTGCCTCAGAGTTCACCCAGCTTGTCAAGCAGTCACTCATAACAACTCATTTTTTAAACCCACCGATGCTTCGTTCCTACGTGTCTACTCCCCTCCTAGGAAACCCGGACCCTGTAGGCATTGCTCAGAGACTGCAGTTTGTATCTAAACTGGTTTGCCAGATTCGGTGAAGTGGTCAAAACCCGTCACTTACCTGGCAGTCTGTTGATCAGCCAGCTCAGCTGCTTTTTAGATATATTTGTCCAGCTGAGATCAAGGGTTACAGGCTGTCTCCTAATAATGCCGCTAAGCATAAGTGGAGTGATGGATTTACAATGGTTTAAATCTATTTTGGTCCATAATCTTTTGTCACAGCACCTACCCAAAAAAGAAAAAAGCCAACAGCACTTAATTTGGCACTGGTTTTGATTTCTGCAAGACATTGAAAGGTGTCATTGAACAGTAGGGAAAACTACAGCATTTAACCGAAAATAGCAAGAAGATGGCCGAGCGATGCTACGGTAGCACACCACCACACGAGGGGACGTAGCTCTGAAGTTTCTCCATCAAATACATCATGCAATAAAGCACGGAATTATTCCCACAGAATTACAAGCGTCAACAACTTCGGCTCCCATTTTCAGCCATCACAGCGCTTACCAACAGCCATTTTCTAGCCTGAAGACAAGCCACGCCTTCTTGCTTACCTTTTGAATATAAAGACTGGGTTTAAATATTACTGTCCTGATGTCCTCGGTGCTTTTCTTACTTAAAACGAGTGAATTTTGTGAAACAGATCCCCCCCTCTCCTGTTCTGTGCTTTTGTGCTACTCCTGTCTCCGTGGCTTAGGCGTTTTTACGCTCTCTTTAAGGGCAACAGGCAAGAAGTCCTAACGAGCGTCTTGCAAGATTCTGCATTTTCTCATTTTTCCCTGAGAAAATACTGCACTTACACGGAGAAGTCATTTACCAGCCGCCCGTGACACCAGGGAGCCCACGGAGGCGGCACTCCACACACATCTCCTTGCACCGAATTCTCAGCCTCTCAACCTCTCTGCCCTTTACCCAGGCTGTTGGCAGACTGCGCCAGCAAGGAGTCTCAGTCTGCCCATCTGCCTGCAGATGACAGCTGAACCCGAGATGACTGCCGGTTCAGTGAAACACGTGAATCTGTCACTGATGCTCCCGGCATCCTACAGCCACGGACTGCATCCCCGCTCACGCCCTGGCACCCCGGGCACCAAGCGGACGCACTGTGAGTAAATACAATCTGCAAGGATTCCTCCCTCAGCTCTGCCGGTACAGAACACAGTGACGGGATTGCTCTCCACGTACCCTCGACAGGGAAACAACCAGCACGGAGGAGAACACCGGGCAATCTTCACCGTATCTCAACAGATATTTAACAGCTGAACAAACAACTGCATCAGCAGCCAGCGGGTCCTGGGGGCAGAGCGACACCGAGACTTCGCATGCCCGACACCGGCTGTTCCAGCAGGCGAGAACATTGCGGTGTCTCACGACAGGACAGGCTGCTCTGGGGCGTCGCAGCCACAGCAGGCTGACACCAAGACGCACAGATACGCAAGACACACAGACACACAGACGCACACAAGGACACAGAATCACAGAACCACAGAATGGTAGGGGTTGGAAGGGACCTCTGTGGGTCACCCAGTCCAACCCCCCGCCCAGCAGGCTGCACAGGACGTTGTCCAGGTGGGTCTTGAATATCTCCAGAGAAGGAGACTCCACAACCTTCCTGGGCAGCCTGTTCCAGTGCTCCGTCACCCTCAGAGGGAAGAAGTTCTTCCTCATGTTCAGACGGAACTTCCTGTGCTTAAGTTTGTGCCCATTGCCCCTTGTCCTGTCACTGGGCACCACTGAAAAGAGCTTGGCCCCATCCTCCTGACACCCACCCTGCAGATATTTGTAAGCATTTATAAGGTCCCCAACACACACACTTCACATCGGAAATGCTGGGAACGGCTGTTCCTGAGACGCTGCTTCTGCCGGTCACCCCTTCTCCTTGGGCTCAACGGAGCGTCAGTGATGGCCCGCATGCCTCTTCCACCAGACACCAGTGCCCCCGCCACCCACTTCCCTTTCGAGTCCGCCCCGCCACATGCAAAACCGAGCTTGGTTTCCCACCCTCCTTACCATCTGTTCCAGGTCTTGCACACTCGCATACAGATGCACAAGTCTCTATGACTGAGGTAGCTAAAGACAGCCATCCAGACTTCCCTCTGCATCACGTGGGCTGCCCCGTCATCCAGGGGGAGCGAGTCCGGAGGGGGGCTGATGGGGGGCGGCCGGATGACGTGCCGTTCCATCTGAATGCATTTGGGAGGGGAGAGCGAAGGCGGTGGCCGGGTTATTCCCCGAGGTGTGCTTCGCAGGCTGGGGATCAGCTGGTGCCTCAGCTCCCGGGGAGTCCCGTTCAACCCTTTGCTGAACCTATGGAGTCTCTCGCTGTTGTTCAAAGCACGCTTAGGTTCCTCGTTCTCGCTCTCAGGTTCAGATTTGATGGGTTGGTGATTCTCATTGGCAAGGCTGTTCTCGGTTTTTTGGATCTCCTGGTTAAGCTCCTTGCTGAGCTCCTTGCTCAGTTCCTTATTGGGAAGGCGCCTTTTCCGCCTCATCTTGAACTTCTTCTTATCCCTGGGCTCGGCGCCCTCTGTGCTGGGACCTGCAGTGGGCGAGCTGGACCGGGACTGGTCGCTATCCCTGGACCTGGGAGGTGCTTCTGGCAGGTCATCCTCCGGCTCCTGCTTCAGGCGCCGCAGGGGCTTGATCATGGCAGTTCGGTCATCTGGAGCCTTCCACGATCGCCGCTGAAAAGGAAGAGACAAGAGCTGACTATGAGCAAGAACGCACTCGCAGTACCGCAGGTGCCGGTGCTCCGCACAGGCAGCCCTGCCCGGGGGGTCGGGCTGCCAGCCCGGACCGGGCCCCACCCGGGCCGATTCACCGGCCAAAGGTATCAAGTTCAAGTGCCACCACGTGGACGAGCAGCCCAGCTATGGGCTCTCCGGACTCCAAGAGAGTGATAAATGCATTCATTCACCATGCATAACCCTGCAGATTTAAGGGCCTTACCCATCCCACAGCGGACAATTCACGTACAGAAGATGAACAGCGTGCTACAGACAGCTTTCTCCCCAGCAGGCCAGGAGAAACCAGGCCTGGGACGTGCTCACTGGGCACCCACTGTAAACATGGGCCGACACGCCTTCACGCCCAACAGCCAAAAGGTGAATTTCTGACACCTCCTGAACCGCAGCCACCGACTCGCATGGCGGCTGCGCTCTTGTGGCCCTCGTTGCTGGATACTCACAGCCTTGTTTAATTACACTTCAGCTGCTCCTTTACATCCTGCTAAACTCCGCTCGTCCTCTCACGCGTCCCCCACCGCCGGTGCTGGCAGAACGGGGCATCTGACGGGTCTGACACACTGCCAGGC